AGTATGTGTGTATATGTGTGTGTATATATATATATATATATATATATAATATATATATTTTTTTAAGTATATTGCATATGGCCAAAGTTGTAGCATTTCAAATATATGGCAATATATTTGGGAAGAATATTTTTAAAATATATTTTTCTTACATTTGGGAATGGGCAGCATTACTCTCCAGTAAGTGAATTTAACATACTTGGGACAAACATAGCTCTATACTCAGAATAAAGGGTTACAAATAATAATAAAAAAAAAAACAACTAAAAAAGGGGCAGGCTTGATGGACCATTTGGTCTTTCTCTGCCATCGTTCTTCTATGCTTCTATAATATTCTGGCTACGGCGCGGCTATTAACCCTGCAGACAGTAAAGACATCTGTGTATGGCATGAGCTGTCTATAGACAGAGCTGCTGCAATGCCGTGTTGGCTTGTCCAGTGCAGAGAAGGGATGATGATTGGGCATGATTTCCAGAGGAGAGGAGGGAGGGCAGAACACATGCAAAGCTGTTATCTCACAAAGCCTGGAACTGTACATTTGTAATTTGCTGGTCAAATAGTGAAGTGCCACACCTAGGATGTCTGCCCATTGCTCTAGGAAATGAATAGGATGTGGGTACGCGCAGCATCAAGAGTTTAATGGTGTGCTCAGCCTTTAAATAATGTAACTGGCATGCATACCGCTCTGCTGTTGCTTCAGTAGATGCCCCCTAATAACCCTGTAATGGAAAGGCGGGTTTTGTACGAGGGGTCTTCAAAAGGTTTTCACACTTTTATACATATTTTATTTTTTTTTTAAAGTGCTGAAACTTTTTGAAGAACTCTCGTATATATATATATTTTTTTTTTTTTTATTATGGGCAGAACTAAATACAATGTTTAACATTTTTTATTGCATTGCATATTGCAGTGTAATTTTTTTTGTTGCATTGCATATTATTACAATATATAGGTGATTTGTGGACACCTGATTACTACCTTGTTGGACATCCCATTTCTAAACCATGGCCGTTAATATGGAGTTATCCCCTCTATGTGGCTATGTGGCCTCCACACTTCTGGGAAGACTTTCCACAAGATTTTGGATTGTGTCTGTGGGAATTTGTGGCTGTTCAGCCATGAGAGCTGAGAGCATTTGTGAGGTCAAGTACTGATGTTGGATAAGAAGACCAAGCTCACAACGGCTTTCCTATTCATTCCAATGGTGTTGAATATGGCTGAGGTCAGGGCTTTGTAAAGGCCACTTGAGTTTCTTCCACACCAAGCCAATCAAACTATGTCTTTATAGAGCTGGCTTTGTTACAGGGGAACAGCCATGTTGGAACAGAAAAAGGGTCTTCCCCAAACTGTTACCACAAGTTTACAATTGGCTAAAATGTCTCTGTATGCTGTAGCATTTGCTATAACCTTCACTGGAAATGCCTAAATTCAGTAATTTGGAGGGTTATACACATACCTTTGGACATTTGGTGTATGATGTAGTCTTCTCTCCAGCCAGTGGGTGGGGCTGTGGTCTCTTCATTTTTTAAAGAACTCAAGAGACTCATCAGCCAATCATTTCTTATAACACAGCTGAGTCTGGGATTTCAATCAGACAGAGGGAGATTCAAAGCTAACTATTGCCCTGCTGTGCTGCCTCTTTAGTTGACCCACAGTTCTCCGGGAGTTCATGTATTACACTTTAAATTAATTTAAAATATTAATAGTCAGTGGATCCAAATTAGACATCCATATTCAATATTGCGATTGCAAGGAAACATAACAGACATAGAGAGGCCTGAATGCTAAAGCTGTTCTAAGTGTATTCAAGCATATCATGGATCTACAAACTTTCTAAACAAAGGGACAGTTTACATGTTTTTAAGACTTCAAGGGGACCAGATTCTGGCCAGTGGGAATAGAAAATACATCGGCATCACTGGGAGTAGACAGTGTCTCAGGCTTGGTGGTCAATGGAATTCAAATAAATTGCATAGTGCCTGTGGTCAATAGGTAAAGGAATAGGGCCTTATCATTAGTGTTAATGGGAGCAATAATGCCCCATTGTTGGTGTCAGTGGGAGGAAAAGTGCCTAATAGTAGGAATGGTAGGAATTATGTCCCATGGTTGGTGTCTGTGGGAGGAATAGTGCCCCATCATTGGTGTTAATGGGCGGAATAGTGCCCTGTTGTTTGTATCACTGGGAGAAATAATGCCCCGTTGTTGGTGTCAGTGAGAGGAATAGTGCCCCATTGTTGTTGTCAGTGGGAGGAATAGTGCCCCATTGTTGGTGTCATTGGGAGGAATAGTGCCCCATTGTTGGTGTCAGTGGGAGAAATAGTGCCCCATTGTTGGTGTCAGTGGGAGAAATAGTGCCCCATTGTTGGTGTCAGTGGGAGGAATAGTGCACCATCGTTGGTGTCTGTGAAAGGAATGGTTCCTTATAGTTGGTTTCAGTGGAGGAATAGTGCCTCAAGGGCCAAAAGTTACTATGCTCACAACTGTTTGACTTGTATAGGTCTGACAAGTCAAATGTAATGTTTCTTAAGGTGCCTATACACTAACAAATGTTTGCCCAAATGCCAGGCCAGTCAGTTCCTCCCTAAGAAAAAATTTGCACATTTTCCAGGTAACATTGGTATAGACGTGTGATAGTAGCAATGACATGCAAATGTGTTGTGTTGTGTTTTAAGAAGCCTTTGCTGTACATCATAGGGGTGTGGTGGAAAGGAAATTGTCTTTTCTCTGCAGGGATCAATATATAGCAGAGAATGCAGTCAGCTCAGGTCTCTCTGCCACTTAATAGCTCAGTATCCCAGAGTTACTGGCTAACTCACTTACAACGCAACCAGGACACAGACACCCAGACGCTCGTAGAGGAAGCAAAGGGCGATCACGTGACCAAGTACACCAAAATACAGAATCTTCACAGCAGCCTAAAAATATGAGTTTTACCATGCATACCTAAATATGGAGGCTACTCTTGCCAGTTTCTCTTTTTGAAAATGCTTGTTGACCGGCTGCCATGATAAAGGCTTCTGATTTACCTTATCTGTCATACTTATTTCAGCTCCATCACTCATAAAATACTAAAGCTACAAGAGCCAGGCAATTGGCATTTTCACCAATGGCAGCCTCTGTACCTCCACAGTATTTCTTTTGGTGAAAAACTGCTGCAGATAGCAGCATTGGAACTGATAAAACATGGAACAACTATTTAAAATCCTTTTCATCAGAGGTGATTTATTAAGAGGCCCTGTCTCCAAGTGGGTAGGTGCAGCGTGGTGCGGCAGAGTAATTACACAGTCTGGGTGCAGGAACAAGAACTTGTATTAAAGGAAAGGTTCAGCTCAACAGACAGCTCGGCAAGAGAGCACCACACCAGGAAACACTCACAGTTCCTTGTGACTTGAGAACACAGCAGGTTCAGATGCACCGACAGCATCTGTCTCAGAGGGCAGAAAGCAGCCTGGCCGGTCTTGTCCCAATGGGGAGGCTTCCAAAGTAGGATGGCTTGTCCCTAGCTTGTCTCTCCTCATCAGGAACCCTTCAGATTCTTAAAGTAGACCCTAAAGGTCATGTCATGCTGTGCTGCCTCCTTCTCCCCACTCTCTTACTCTTTGGCATTATTATTACTTTTTTATAAGTCATTTATTTGTGCTACAAAGCAGTAGTTCTGCATTTCTCACCTGGACAAGAATTGCGTTTTTTTCTCCCCGTTCCCTGCACATGCACAGGGCTTCAGGTCATAAGGGAGCTTTGAAGCTCTGCAATGCAACCCTTCTCAAAGATGTCTATTAGGGAGATCCCAAACCTTCCCTGTCTTTGCTCATGCATCAAAAATCACATGCGCGTGTGCAAATCTAAAGGCTGAACAGAGACCATTGACACATATGTGCATGCACTATAATGGTGGCACCTGGGGTGGGTAGGTGGGTGGGGGTACAGCAGAGCCATTTGAGAGTCAGAACTGAAGTTTCATTTTAGGTACCAGTATTGATTTAAGTTGGAGAAGGAAGGCCTGAATCTGATTTTTGGCTGTTGTTTGAAACAAGCAATGCGGAGATTTAATTTCAAAGCCAAAATTGACCTCAATTTCCAGAGTTCACTTTCAATCGACTTTCCCAGATTTCCATTATGACTTACATTGAATTTAATAGGTCAATAGTTGATGGTCACTTTTGGCCCTTTGAAAAGCTGCTAGAGAAAAAACTAGCCAAAAGTCTACAAATTCTTCAAATAACAGCATATTTGTCCAACAGTCCTCCATAGTGCCAGGAACAACCATCAAAATTGACTTTAAAGCAATTCAAACTCAAAGTTTAACCCGTTCATGCCCAGCCCCAGGGTCCCTTTAAGTAGGTAAAATAGAGAGAAAATAAGGGGCTTGTAGATATCATGCATCGCTAGATGTAAATTATCTGCCCACTAACCAAAAAACATGCAACGAAAAAAAGGGGGGACGTGAAAAGAGATTCACAGAAAGTGGTTACATTATGGACAGAATTCAATACTCAAAGTCATTTCCAAAAATTATGCTTTATTAAACAGCATGCATGGCACCCTATACTTATTACAAGGCATGGATGACCCAGCACTTTTTACTTCAACATCAATATTAAGGTGGTCCATAGCCCGCATGCTGCAGTGAAGAAACCCCTTAAGGCAGGGCCCTGCCATATCTACAACATTGAGGAAGCTAGTGGTGACCTTTGCATTGCTGATTCAGCCTATACCCAGTAACATGGACATATCTATTGCTGCATGATATTCCACCAGCTACTCTTGCCATTATCTACTACCTTTATTACTCTAATTGGCCATTACAGAGGCTAACCGCATCTCATTATATGTATTTTAGCCCATATTACCTGGTTAGGTTTATGGGAAACCATATCTATATTACTTGGTACTTGTTATCAGCCATTTACTGCACTGCATGTGTAATGATCCACCCGGCGGTACCTCTGGCAACCCACCGGACAGGATTTCCCAGAGTGCGGAGTCTAAGTCCCGGTCTGCTTGTTCACCAGGGCCCCTGATGGTGGGGATGGACTTGGAGCAGACCAGGACCAGGTCGCGGCCTCTGAGTACACCCACCCGTGGTAGATGGATCCGCCGGAGATATCTACAAGATGAGAGCCTGATGTGAAGAGGCGGAAGGGCCCGAGCAGGATGGATGGATGGATTCGTGGTCAGACAGGCCAAGTCGGTTACCGTGGGAGCAGCGCGGTACAAGGCGGCAGGCAGAGGATAGTCGGGTCACACGCAGGGTCAGTACCAGAAGATCAGATCCAATAGAGGGCATTCAAGAGAGAGGTCAGGCAAGCCAGGAGTCAGAGCAGGAGAATACAGCACAGTCAGGGGCAATCCGGGTCAGCAACAATCAAATATCAACGAATACAGAAGCAGGGAACACAGGATAGACCAGGGGTGGGCAAACTTTTTGACTTGAGGGCCGCAATGGGTTCATATATTGGACCCAGGGGCCAGACCAAGAGTAGATGAATGATGTGTATGTCATCCATAGTAAGTATAGTAATATTCCCCCATAGTAAGCATAGTAATTAATCCCCCATATAGTAATTCATCCCCCATAGTAATTCATCCCCCATAGTAATTCATCCCCCATATAGTAATTCATCCCCCATAGTAATTCATCCCCCATATAGTAATTCATCCCCCCTATAGTAATTCATCCCCCATATAGTAATTCATCCCCCCTATAGTAATTCATCCCCCCTATAGTAATTCATCCCCCATATAGTAATTCATCCCCCATAGTAATTCATCCCCCATATAGTAATTCATCCCCCATAGTAATTCATCCCCCATATAGTAATTCATCCCCCATATAGTAATTCATCCCCCATAGTAATTCATCCCCCCATATAGTAATTCATCCCCCATATAGTAATTCATCCCCCATAGTAATTCATCCCCCATATAGTAATTCATCCCCCATATAGTAATTCATCCCCCCTATAGTAATTCATCCCCCATAGTAATTCATCCCCCATATAGTAATTCATCCCCCCTATAGTAATTCATTCCCCATATTAATTCATCCCCCATATTAAGTCCCCAAGTCCCCCCTGTGTCAATTCACTTACCTTTGCTCCGCGCGTTCCTCTCTCCGTGCTCCCGCGCCGTTCCGGTGTAGCATGAAAATCTGTCTCCTATGAGGATCTGTCCCCCTCGACGTATCTGCGCATGTGCCAGTTTCAGGCATTAGCAGCCGATCGGCGATCTCCGGCACATGCGCAGATACGTCGAGGGGGACAGATCCTCATAGGAGACATATTTTCATGCTACACCGGTCTTCAGGGCGGACTGTGAGAGGAGCCGAGCGGGAGCCTAGCTCCGCGGGCCGGATTAAAAGGTCTGCCGGGCCGTATACGGCCCGCGGGCCGTAGTTTGCCCATTGCTGGGATAGACTAAACGGCAACCAGTGTCAGTGCAGGGCGGATTTAAATACAGCACCCCGCGCTGTCATTGGTGCCAGGCGCGCACCCGCGGCCCCCAGTGCGCATGCACGAGTTCGTCTCTGCCGCGGTCGGCCAGGACCTAGCGCCCGCAGCCCAGCGCGAGCCGGCAAACTGGACCGAACGCCTCAGCGGACCCTGACAGCATGCTATGCCATTTTGGTACAATTTTTTGACATACCTCCTGCTTGGCAGTGTAACCACTGTATCGGTGCTGCAGATGTATTAAACCATTGTCAGTATGTCTGCAGCACTTTACAACTTAGACCGGTCTTGACGATTGTTTTTACATGATTTTAGGTCTGTCTGTGTATTATCTCACACTGAGGTGATGGTGAACTAAGGTATTTACCTTATTTGTCCACATGTGTATTCTGTAATAAAGCATAATTTTTGTAAATGACTTTGAGTATCGCATTCTGTCCATAATGTAACCACTTTCTGTGAATCTTTTTTCACGTCCCCCCCTTTTTTTCGTTGCATGTTTTTTGGTTACTGGGCAGATAATTTATGTCTAGAGATGCATATCTACAAGCCCGTTATTTTTTCTCTATTTTACCTACTTAAAGGGACCCTGGGGCTGGGCATGAACGGGTTAAACTTTGAGTTTGAATTGCTTTAACGTCAATTTTGATGGTTGTTCCTGGCACTATGGAGGACTGTTGGACAACTCTTTTCACATCCCTCCCTTTATTCCCTTTAAGTAGGTCTTGGCTGGCAGTCACAGTGGTCACGATTGGGGGCACATCCCGCTGTCTCCTGAACATTACTAGAGACCAAGAGCTGTCTATGACAGCTCTTAGCTCTGTCACTGTGCTGGCATGAGTCCATGCTCTCAGCACCGAAACCTTGGCCATCTATGGATGCATACGTGTAGTGTGTGGGTATCAAGGCCCACCCATTTTGCACATATGCATTATGTAGGAAGCAAAATGCTAAGAAGACATATAGGTATCCTCCAATCCAAGGCACAAATTTCCACTGTCTCCCAGATATCGGGTGCTGGGCTAGAAGGGACCATTCACCTTGCATGCGCACAATAGGAAAAAACAAATGCACACCGATGACGTTCAAAACGTCTAAGCTTTATTCCAGCAATAATGATAATAGTAGTCCCCACTTGACTAAACCCAATGCGCTGAAACACGTCGGAGTGGAAATGTGGGTCAAACTGAATGTCCCCAAATTTGTTGGCTCATCACTAATCATACATGAGACAGTGCAAAAAAAACAAAAAAACCACATGGAGACATTGCTTCGACTGAAGCTAGAATGATATCACCGGTTATTCTCATATCATGATCTTATCTGACAATATATCATCCCTGTAAGTGGCAGCGTCCTGTTCGTCTGATCTCCCAGTTGGTTGTACGTGGTCTGCTAATGAGGTCATGTTCCATACAACAGTCAATAAAATGATATCATTAGCAATTAGTCC